TCGTCCCGCAAACCTGGCCAGTAAAACCTCTCAAGGATTCACGCTGCCGTGTGAGTTTGACCTGGATGACATGCCCATAAGGAATCATGATTTTCTTTAATGATAAAATTCCGCAATGATACGGGAACCATTATCTTCCACGTCTCTGGATCAGACTGATCGTACATCCAATAACATAAAACCTTTGTCACCTATACGTACTTTCTCTGGGTATTTTGCTATAATATCGTGACACCAGCAATCCTCTTCTTCTTCTCTCAGTAAAGACACATGATCGAGAAACCTATAATCTACTGCTGCTACTCCTCTGCTGAGACCATCAGCGTTTTGATGACGTACTCCAGGCCTATGAATCACGTAATAGTTGTACTCCATCAACCGGAGGCGCCATCGTGCTAATCGAGAAGAAGGATCTTTCAAATGTAGCATCCATATGAGAGCAGCATAGTCAGTTACTAATGTATACTTCCTTCCTAATAAGTAACATCTAAATTGAGCAGTAGCCCATACAACTGCCAGTAACTCCCTTTCAGTGCCGGAGTCGTTTCGCTCGGCATTATTAAGTTGACGGCTAACATATGCCACTGGTCTTTCATGTCCCTCTCTGATCTGAAAAATCACAGCCCCTAAGGCTACACCCAAAGCGTCTGTCGATAATATAAATTGTTAAAATCTGGATAAATCAAAACTGATTGTGAACTGAAAGCTGTTTTTATCGCTTCAAAAGAAGTTTGTTGAGCGTATCCCCAGTGGAATTTCTCATCCTTTCTTAAAATTGTTGTTAGGAGTTTCAACATATTAGAAAGTCCCGGAACAAAGCGTCTATAATATCCAGCAAGTCCTATAAAAAGTATTGACGTCCTTGACACTATTCGGGACTGGATAACTTACCACGGCGTCCACCTTCTTCGAATCGGGCCTAACACCATCGCTGGAAACTATATGGCCCAAGTAATGAACTTCTCCCTGGGCAAAGTGACATTTATCCATATTCACTCGTAAATTAGCTTCGTCTAGTCTCGCCAAAACCTTATCTAATCGCTGACGGTGCTCTATGGTAGCGCTGTGTACTATAATATCATCAAGATATACTAAGCATTCGTCTCCTTTTATTTCTGCTAGTAGCTGGTTCATTAATCGTTGAAAAGTTGCTGGTTCATTAACTAGACCAAAAGGCATCTTTTTATATTCAAATGCCCTCCCTCTCCTTCGGTGGTAAATGCAGTCTTTTCCTGGTTTTCCGGTCAAATTGGAATCTGATGATAGCTACTTGCTAAATCTACTAAATCTAAATCTACTGCGTTTCAAAAATCAATGGAAGGGGGTACGCATCTGCTTTTGTAAGTTTGTTCAGACCGCGAAAGTCGGTACAGGACCTATACTTAGGGGCAGATGATCAATCTCCTTTCTTTTTTACAAGTACTACTGGAGCTGACCATGGGCTTTCAGAAGGTCGTATGATATCTTTTTCTAACATATCTTGAATGTGATCTGCCACTATGGGTCGCTGGTGATAAGGAACGCGGTAGGGTATTTTTATGACTGGTCCTTCTTCCGTCGTTCGGATTCGGTGATACCCCTTATCGGCAGCCTTCCTTTGTAGGAGGTTCGAACAGTCGTAAATACTTTTTCAAGACGTCTAAAATTTTTTCTCCTTCAGTTGAAGTCAAATGCACTAGTCGATTTCAACATTCTTTGATGAGATCTTTTGTCCCTTCCGCGTTCACACCTAAAGTCTGCACCAAATCCACTAAATTTTCCTGGACATTTGGTTCTGAAACCGCCGTCGAAGCGAACTCTTAAGCCAGACCTAAGTATTGCTCCTTGGGTATCACCACCTCCTCCTCAGACAAATTGATTAATTTCACGCAGACTCTTTTACGATCAACGTTGTTAATAGTACGCGCAACTCTGACACCTTATCGGCTACCTTCCCATACCGAGCCATTGCAACACGGCGACCTGCCTATATTCTACAGATCCTACAATTCAAACGCTCCTTTCAATCCCGTCCCACCAGATCCCGTGCGTCCGACCTCTATCCTCCTCCTCACCGAACTGCTGCATTTGATAAATCCTTTTTTAATACAAGTTGTCTCCCTCTGGAACTCTATACTTCCAGATATTCGACACGAAAAATCGATATCCTCTTTCAAATCTCTCCTCTTCGAACACCTAATCCATTCCCAATCCGATTGATCACGAAATGCACTTAAAAACCTAAGCTGTAAAAACCTCAAAGTACACCCAGATACTCTGATTATTTTGTAATTCATCGATATTTCGTTCACTTAATTACTTTCTCTGTATATTTTATATTTACACGTATTAATATCTTTTTAATATTTATAACTTTATTGTATTCCGAATCAACCTGTAAATATTAAATTGTATTTCATGGATACGCCAAAATATTAATATATATTCTGTATTTGTGACTTGTTCTAAAGGGACACTAGTCCTAGAATAATAAAATTATTTTCATTCATTCATTCATTCATATTGCGGTTGTACGACTGACTCCAGTAAGATATCACCATTGTATGGTTCTTTCAATTGACCATTAACGAGAACCTCACTAAATTGCGGAATCACAACTTTATTTACCGCAGGGACCCGAGTTGCTTTTAGTTGGTCTTTTTTTTGAAATTATTCCTGTTGATTCCTATTAGTTTGCACTATAATGCCCTTCGCAGCATGAATAATAAGTCCTAATTTTCTCATCAAGTCCCATCCCATTAGACCATCCGCTCTCGATACAACATCGCCAACTACAAACCGATGAGACAACACCGTTGAGTCAATTCGACATTCTAAATCTTCCTCACCACGAACTATTATCGGGGCACCTGAAACGCCAGATGCAATTATTCCAGTTGGATGTAAGATATAGCCCTGTATCGGCTCTTTTATTATTGAGATTCCAGAACCACTGTCCACCAATTGTTCGCGGCGCTGCCTCTCAATGTGAACTAACTGCAATATTCCCTTTTTAACAAAAGAGGAAACGTTAGAACGATATGAGTGGCCCCATTTCTGGTCGGGCTTACGATGGTGGGGCACACATCGAGCCCATGGCTTTTGGGAAATTTTTAATCTCTTTGCTAGCGTTAACAGCTGTGATAGCGCGTCTCGGGCAGGCTCTGGAAAAGTGGCCTTGAGAACCGCAAACAAAACAACTCGATCGATTAAAGTCTTTCTTTTGTGTATTGGTTGGCCTAGGACATTCTCTGGCGAAGTGGCTTGTCTTACGGCATCGGTAATATTTTTTTCATATATAGAGGATCTCTGATCTGACCGGTCGTTAGAAGATGGTTCCCGCCGAATAGCCTTCACCTCTTGTGCCGGAGGAGCGCTTCGCCTACTCTTGCCGCCTTATTTACGGCCCCCTCAAAGGTTGATGGAGTGTCAAACAGGAGTTGTCGCGTAATATCTGGTCGCAGACCCTTAAAAAATGGAGCAGTAACGAAATTTTTGTAATGACCCCTAGCCCAGCTGGCTTCTTCTACTGACAACGATTTTGGGGATGCTAGCTCTCCTAACCTTCTGCACCTATCGGCGTACTCATGCACTCCTGCTCCGGGCATTTGTTCTACAGAATTTAACTGGAATAGTAACTGTTCGGGTATACAAAATCCTTCTAAACACTTGCGAAGTATTGTCGCTATGTGATCAAATCGAACAGTGGATTCTAATAATTCTGAATAAGATGCAATACACCCCTTCGAGGGTCCGGTTAATTTTGGTCGGCAAATTAGCACCTTCTCCTATTCGGTCTGACCCCCAGTAGAAGCTATCAGATCAACATGTCTTAAAAATGTATTTAGATCATCATCATCACTTAACCCACCTCAAGGTTGTATAAAGTTTTGCAAGCCTAACTCCTTTTTTAATATGTTTTTCTTAGTCGATGGACTTTGAAAACTAATTGAAGCTAGATTTAGAGCTTCCATCTCTATTTTTACCTCATTTAATTCAGCTTTTCTGCATCGATTCGGCCTCCATGGTAACCCCTAAATTTAATTTCACCGGTAACCTGATATAAACCTAACTTTCTTATGTATTTTATGTTTTACGGGTTCTAATACCCCACACCTGACACCAGTGTAATAATGGCCGTCTTAACGTCCATATACGCGAGCTTAAATAGACAACCATGAGAAATAGACAACCTCACGTATCCACTTTATCAACCTAACATATGTTTTATTAATAAATAATCAAAATCAAAACATTTATTAATGATTTATACAATTTAGACGAACAAACTATAAAAAGCCCAATGAAATTTCTAAATAAACAATAGACTATAGATAATTAATAAAACTTAATCTAAGGAGTAATCTAAACTTAACTATTTACAACTAAACAACAAGAACTTACGGACTAACCTAAAGCTGATATAAAATTTACTAACTAATAAAAATCTGAATAATGTACAAAAATCCCCAAACACTTCATCCATATAAATTAACTCTTTTGTTTTGTGCACTACAAAAGGTTTTTTCCATGACCATCCTTGAAGTTACTCCCAAACGTGAACGGTCTTTATTTCGTTTTCTCCATCTATTATCTATTCCACCAGATTTAAAGTTAAACAAAAACCAAAAAAAAAAGAGGTTTACTTCAGGAATATTCACTTATTTAATCAGACCCACAGATCTTGTTAAACAAGGAATAAAAAAAATCTTTTTGGGTATCTGGAGAAATGTATGGAAGCTAATAAACGTTACTTTGAATTAAAAGTAATATAGTTAAAGTTTGTTTTGCTTTCAGTAAACTCCTTATCTAGAAACAAATATTTCACGATTACTAAGCCAATAAATTCTTCACCGTCAACTATCATCGAAAGTTGTCAATCAGATTTATAATTTATTTAATAAATCATACTGATATATTTTTATTTATAATAAATAGTTGTGTACAATTAATCTTGTTGTTTTTTATTTTTATTTTTTTCGTTATTTTTTAGAATTAATGCTCCGCATCAAAGCTCAGGCATGGAGATCATCTGTAATAAAAAAACGGCCAGATCATTTCATGGCATCAGAGTATACATACGATCGAGTAAATCGTTGTTATCTACAAAAGGTTATTTGCTCTATATGCATTGTATATCTATATATCTATGTATATACCTATATATACAACCTACTTTTTTTAATGAACATATTAATTACTAATTTATCTTCGACCTGTCCAGAGGTATGAAATTCCCTAAAGGGAGGGGTTAAAGAAATAGAAATATATATTTATATTATTTGACTAACGAAGTATGCAACACACTGTAGAAGAGATAAAATAAATATAAAGCGTGCCTCGTAAGCAAAGGGAAATTTTTATATAAGTAATAGCAGACTTCAAGATATACAAAAAAGTTTATATATATACCTCATTATTTCTCATATATATTCTCATATATATATATATATATATATATATATATAATATATATATATATATATATATATATATATATAGATAGATAGATAGATAGATAGATAAAATCGCAACAAATTTATTATTTCTTTAAAAACAGAACTTAGCTTAGTTTAGCCGCTCAAAAGTGATCCTTCAATGATTTTAACAATGAAAAACTCTATTTTAATTTGAAGTAAATTTTGTCTAGTTGATATTGAAGTGATTGTCGATTACTTAAATTAAATATTTAATTCTACAAAAAACACGACTTGCTTAAAAAAATATAAAACTTGGATTTTTTTAAGTAATCGACAATCATTTCAATGTAAACTAGACAAAATTTATTAGAGCTTTTCATTGATAGAATCATTTAAAGGTCACTTTTGAGCGACTAAACTAAGCTAAGTTCTGTTTTTAAAAAAATAATAAATTAATCGCGATTTTTGTTTTGTCATCATCCAACTATACAACAAACACCCATACAATAAATAACTATACAATAAATAACTTAATTAATTCAGACTTAAAGCTTATTAAACGAAGAATTATTTCTAAAAGTGAGGTATTTTTAGTATAGCTGGATGATGATAAAAAAAATTCGCGATTAATTTGATTTTTTTTAAAACAGAACCATGCTTAGTTGAGTCGATCAACAGTGATCGCTCAATGGTTTTACCAATGAAAAACTCTATTTTAATTTGAAGTAAATTTTGTCAAGTTTATGTTGAAGCAATTGTTAATTACTTTGATTAAATATTTCGTTAGTTATCGCTTCCCATTTTACAGAAAACACGACTTGTTAAAAAAAAACACAAAATTTGGATTTCCTACTTTTCTGGAGAAAATTGGTCCATTGTTTATATGAACTTTTTTGTAGTTCCTGAGATCTCCTATCACTGCTATCAAAGTTTTCCTCTAATTACAGGATATCATATATATATATATATATATATATATATATATATATATATATATATATATATATGTATGTATGTATAGGATATTAAATAGAGTTATAATTATTATATAGTAGATATAATTAAAATTATATAAAATATATGAAGCAAATAAAAATATATTTGATTTTAATAAAAAACGTCTACCCTATCTACTTAAACATCTTGGTAGGTTGACAAAGAAAATGCCATTACGAAGATTTTAACTTGTAATAGTCGAATGTCTTTCAAAACACATTTAGACTCCAGGAAAATAGATTTCGTCCCATGTATAAGAATCTTAAGGTTCGTACGGAATATGTTAGGCACACGACTACTACCTACACCAAGTTTAAGAATTCGTAGATGTCAATTCCTCTATCAATCTACCAAGATGTTTAATTAGATATGGATATGAAAGCACATTCCCCTAGGAAACAAATGCGATTTTCATTTGTGCCAGACCATTATTCAAGTTTCTTATCTACCATTCATTACTATACCTCGACCGTACCCCTATTAATTCCAAAACTCTAAAATAAACTCGGAGTTATCTTTAATCAATACCTAAACTGGATTCACCATATTTCACAAAGCATCCGAAAATCCGTTTCAGTTTTTAAACAGCTCCTGAGATCCCGTTACCTCCCCCTCCCCCCAATTTCCTGCCCGGTTTCCCCTACGCTCCCTAATTTTCTCCCGCTTTGACTACGGAAGCCCATTGGGCAAGAGATTACACTGAAAAGATTAATGAATAGTTTCAAATATGTCATTGTAGTTTCTTGACGCTTTGAATATCATTTTCAGCCGACCTACCCCATTTGCGAGACAGGAAATCGGGAAATATCAACCTGGCTTCCTAAAGGAAGATCCACTGTTGATCAAGTGTTCACCATTAGGACAATTTTGGAACGGGATCATGAATATAAAATCCTTACACACCACCTGTTTGTTGACTTTAAGAATGCATATGACAGCATCAAACGACCTAAGCTATATGAGGCGTTAAGAGAAATTGGTATCCTATGCAAACTGGGTATCCCATTCGTCTCGTGAAGTTGACAATAAAAGATGTAAGGTGTCAGGTACGGATCCAGTCTAACTGCTCTGATGCATTTCTCTCCAACAAAGGATTAAGACAGGGGGATGGATTGGTCTTCTCCTCTTCAATCTTGCACTAGAGAAAGCTGTACGGGATTCAGGAATCCAGACAGACTACACGATAATCACCCGCACTGTACAGATATTGGGATACGCTGACGATCTGGATATCGTGGCCAGGATCCGATCGGCATTGGTAGAAGAAGCCTTTAGGAAATTCATGGACGCTGCTTCACCTATGGGGTTGACCATAAATGAGAATAAAACGAAACATATGCACACAGGGACTGTTGGCGACAAGGCCGTGAGTGTTGGTCCTTACACATTCCCAAGGGTGAACGAGTTTAAGTATTTGGGATCTCTAGTAACTCCAATAAACGATGTCTCTGCTGAGATAAGGAAAAGGCTGGTGGCAGCTTATAGTAAATATTTCGCCTTACTGAAAACTCTTAGCAAAACCCATACCCCCAGTTCTTACCTATGCTTCCCAATCCTAGAACATCTCATGAAGTGATGAAAATAATAATTTGATTTTCGAAAGAAAAATCTTACGGCGAATAGTTGACCCAGTGAGAGATGGAGATGGATAGAGGATTAGGAGGAATAGGGAGCTTTATGATCTTTAAGGAGACATGGACGTTGTAAAGTTTATAAAACTGGGAGGCTCAGTTGGGCTGGTCTTGTCGCAACAATGGAAGCGAAAGAAATTTCTAGCAAAGTAGTGGACACCGCCCTTCACGGTACGCGACGGCCTGGTAGGCCAAGGCTTCGATGGGTTGATGGAGTGGTAGCGGACGCACGGAGTCTGCTATGAATCAGAAGCTGGAGAGCGGCAGCACAAAATCGGGCCGGATGGCGGCGGCTCATTGAGGAGGCCAAGACCCACCCAGGGTTGTAGCGCCACGTAGATAGATAAATGGATGCTTTGAAATCTATTTGTGGTATTTCGAGGAAACATGGTTACCTTCTTTTTCCGAAGAAAATATTATATTTTCCAGCTATATTCCAATAAGCGGCTAAGAATAATTAGTTTTAGTATATTATTAAAGCAACTGAATTGGAGATATATTGAATCAAATAAAATTCAAATCTTAATATCGGCAATCCTCATTTTAATAATAAAAACATGAAAAGTTAGTTTTAAATGTTAATAAAATATGGCTAAGCTTTTCAGAAAACTTTAAAGTACCATTATGTGATCAAGGATCAAAGTCGGTCACTCCCTAACAGCTGTGGAGAAAAATTCCATCTTCCCGCTAAAAAACAACGTTACGCCAAATCTTTTCCTCCTCTATGCCTTGAAAACTCACTTAACGTACATGATAATTATTTTTTTTAAGTAGTTGCGAACGGTTGGTTATTTTGAACTTTATTTACGAAGGTTACTAATCATAACTGGGCATGCCAACATAGACTGTATGTCGTCCACGTTACGAGAGGGGAGACTTTGTTACGCCATTTCCTGCCATAGCCTAACTCATAGCGTTAGTCATCTTATATATTTTAACTTGGAATATTATTTTCAGCTTCAACACTTTCATCCAAGAAATACTGTTAGGGTTTGTGGTATTTCAGAATGAAAATACAAACCTTTTCCCGCTTTTCCCTCAAAGGTGTGGAAAATACGAGTAAAATTAAAATGAAGGAAATGAAATAAAAAAATCTGTAAACAAGGTGAAATGCATGCACATAAAAACATTAAATGAAATATTAAATCAGTTAAATATTGAAAATAAATAATCCCTCTTCCTAATGTATACAATATATATTGAACGAAAAAAGAGAGATCTAAATATATACAAAAGTTAAAATAAACAATGGTATAAAAGTTCCGAGATAAAAATAAAACATGAAAAATAAAAAGTGTCCATGAAAAATGAAATAATAAAAAATAAATTGAATTCTTCTTTAAAATGAGGTGTGTTTCTGCTAACAAAGAAAAGACAAAGCTGACAATATAAAATATCAGTGTCTTTAAATAATGGTTAATATGTATAATCATCATTGTCAAATGCTAGAGGTGCCGATTTAATTAAATACCAATAAATAATAATAATAATAAATAAAAAAAATAGATGTGGTCAGTGGCATTAAGAGCCGGAAGATATTGTAATATCCCTAGTGAAGATCACAGTATAGAATAGTACTATCATTTGATGATGACTAGAATATCGAATGTTTAGCAAGTATCTGACTGTTTTTGGGATAGGAATTGGAATAGGAGGGATTTGAATGTGGATATGGAGGGGGATGCCGAATTTTGATAGGTAGAGAATTCCAGAAATTGACAGCGCGAGCTATAAAGGAATTCTGAAATGAGGCAGATCTGTGCGAAGGGATGTAAAGGTCAGAAGGTCGAGATCTTGTTGAAAGGGAATGGACTGAGGACTTGAATTGGAGAAGGTTGTAGGCGTAAGAAGGACGATGGTTGTTGATGATTTGATAGAGGAACGTGCCTAGGAAATATTGTCTTCTAAAGGAGGGGAAGAGCCACCTTAACTCAGTGTAGTGGTGAGAGACATGGGAATACCTCGGGGCACCGATAACAAATTTTACGCAGCTATTCATTAATCTTTTCAGTCTATCACGGAGCTCCACCGAGAGGCCATCATACACCACACAGCTGTAGTCAAA